TTTCAGGATTTGAGTAAACCTTCCGAGGTGTGGCGAAAACTAAGGCGTCTTGGTCTATTGAAAGCGAAGTGTGTCAATAGGCTTTCCTTTCATGTGGATGAACTCAACAGATTTTTTTGTTGGTGTGGGGGCGTCTGATCGGGACGTTTCGCTCGACCTCGCCGCGGTTGATGTTGGGGAAGCGTTTGACGACACCAAATTTTACTGGCGTAATATTGAGCCTAAGGATGTGCTTGAAGCCCTTCTTCGAATTAAGTTAAATGCGGTTGGCAGGGATGGGATTCCGCATCATCTTATCATCAAGGCCTTGCCCTGTGTGCTCTCGGCCATTACACATATTTTCAATCATTGTCTCATGTACGGCGTTTATCCGAGAGTTTGGAAGTCTGCAATTATTTGCCCTATTCCGAAGATTAAATTTCCAGCCGAAGTGAGTGATTATAGACCTATCTCCATTCTGTGCTCGGTCTCCAAGGCCCTGGAGCGTCTAGTTGCCAAACAGATGACTGACTATCTGGAGAATGCTAATCTCCTAGATCCTAATCAGTGCGCTTACAGGAGGGGTTATTCAACGCAGACGGCCTTAATATGGGTTCTGGATGACATGAGACAGGCTATTGATGGTAGAAAAGTAACGGTGGCTGTCTTCTTTGATTTCTCTAAGGCTTTTGACAGGGTTAATCATCGCATCCTTATCGAGAAGTTGCGTGGACTGAGCTTTTCGAACTCTGCGCTTGAATGGATATGTGCCTATCTTCTGGACAGGAGACAGGCTGTGAGGGATCCTTGCGAGAATGCGCTATCGACCGATGCCATTATCACATCTGGGGTGCCCCAGGGATCGGTGCTCGGCCCTCTGTTTTTCTTGCTGTACTTGCTTGGCTTTAAAAGATCTCTGAAGTACTGCAAGTATAGCTATTACGCGGATGACCTTCTCGTGTATTTGTGCGTGGAGCCGAGGAATTTGGATGGAGCAATTCGCAGGATCAATGAGGACATCTGTGGCATTGTAAAATGGACTCGTGAGAATGGTCTCTTGCTGAACGTGAAGAAAACCACGGCGATGATTGTTGGCACTTCAAGATACCTGAACAGCATTGACCGTGAGACACTGCCTAGTATTTATATCGATGGTACGGTCATCCAATATGCGGAATCGGTCCAATATCTAGGAGTCACTATCACTCACAATCTATCCTGGGAAAGGCAGGTCACGGACAATTTCCAAGGTCAACTCCTCGTTATACCAACTCAAGATTTGCAAGCGCCTTTTACCGATTCAACTGCGCGTAAGGCTCGCCTCAACACTGATTGTTCCTCTTTTTGATTACTGCTGTGCCATACTAACGGACATCACTGGTGAATTGAATCTCAAATTGCAAAGGGCATCGAACAGCTGTGTTCGATGCGCTTTATTTTTGATGCAAGATGGGATGAGCACATAACTCCTTATCGAAGAAGGCTCGGTTGGCTGCGAGTTGAATCCAGACGCCAATATTTATTGGTTGTTTTGTGTTTGCCTTGTTACGGAATAAAAAGCCT